TTGCCTTCAGTCCCAGTCTTCCACAGTCTCGAGAAGATTGTTTAAGTTCTTCCAGTGAAGTAAGTCCTTGATATTATTCTAGTATGTTAAGTATATTAGTCATTCTAAACTTTTCATGAATTAGCTCCACTTTTCACGTACTAAATAACGAGATAAAGATGAACTGCAGGCCATGAATCACATTTAAATATTTTCTCCTGCAAATGTTCATATTACCTATAATGGTTAGTCTTGAAAAATATAAGTACATTTGAGTAAAAACTGCCTAGGTTACTACACTTAAATTTATTTTTAATTTGTACTCAATTTCATGATTACAAAAATTTGCAAGATTAGTGCAGTGAGCTCCCAGATATCCTTAACTGGATTCCTTTACTGCTCCTCATGTGCACAGGCTTCTAAAATAGGCTCCCTGAGCACCAATCTAATTTCAGTAGAATCTCTTTTCAAGTGTCATAACAATGAAAAAGTTATATGTTATTAATTCTAGGATGAATACTTTTCTGTTATTGTTTCATGGTGTACCTTCTTTCTTTCAACTGGGATAGGCTACTGTACTGTCCTTATTTACATAAAATATAATAGTCACTTTACATTTAAAATATTATAATATCCACCTAAAACAGGATGCATCTTATAATTGATGGTTTATATTAATTCAATTGGCTGGTTTGTTTTGGTAGAACACAAATAATGGTGCATCGTTACAATTAATGGCATTTCTTTGATTCAATAAAATATAAGAATACTTATTAGTCCCCTATTATTTTCCAGGACCTGTCCTAGGGTTTTTAATCATATAATAATATTTAATTATCAATTCAGGCCTATGGTGCAGGTACAATATTTATTATTGTCATTTTACTAATTAGAAGCCTGAAGCTTATTATATTATTATAAACCTAAGCCACATAGATTGTGACAGGTGGCTCAAACTCAGTCTTGGGGGTGGCATCATACTGCTCTGCCACTATTATCAGATGACTCTTCACATCTCATAACGTTCTTCCAACAAAGCCTTTCCAGAGTGTTTTTTAGTGTGAGGGAAAGATGCAAGTAAAGAAGGAGATATTGAAGATGAGACAGGCAGAGAAAGGCTGAAGATGAAGATGAAAAATATGGAGAATAGAAGAGGGGGAAAAAAATCTAAGAAAGGAGGGTTGGCCTAAAAGGGGGGCTATTTTTCCCTTAATACGGAATGAAAAATAGAGAATATAAAGAAAAATGTTCATATGAGAAGAGGGTCGTTGAGTTCATATATGATGACTTATCTCTGGATACATAATCTGAGAACTAGGTGGTGGGAACCAGGTTGGGAATTTGAGAAGAATGAAGAAAATATGGAAGAATCTTCATAGGCAGGAATTAATTATGAATTCACTAAAGGGCTCAACTGAGGTAAAAGTGAGAGTAAACTTGTAGAGAATACAGTTATCATGGTTAAGTGACTAACAGCCTGAGAAACTCAATACGAGGAATGGAGAAAATGGATAGTTAGGCTGTGTGTTGAAAGGTAAAGAAAATCTTAAAGGAATAATATAATTGCATGCCTCTAGGGTGTCTGGAAGGGCATGTTTTAAATGGTTGACTCTGTATTCTGGGTTAGGTGGATTGCTAAATGAGACAAGTGGGGCCTTGATAGACAAGAACAATTAGAATCAAGGAATTATTCCCATTATAAGAGTAAAGCTGTGTTAATAAAAGTAACAGAGCAATAAGGAGGATGGGGCAAGAGAACACCAAATATTCATGTTTTCAGAGGGGAGCAAAGATACAGAAATGAACACAACTATTACTTCCTGCAAAGTTGTGCACAAGAGAATTATTGGAGCCACGCTAGTTCTTTCTTAGCCCTATTTGGCCTGGAACTTGGTGACTTGGTAAAAATAGTTACAGTATTAGATAAAAACAATATACCCTTCCTTTATTCCATGTTAGAGATGTGTTAACCTCTGTAGCTACCTGTTGTTGCTTGGAAAATCAGAGTCAATTTGAATAGTAGGATTTTCCCCAGTGAAGATGTAAGATGAGAGGGAATAGGGAAGTTTAACCTATTGGTAGTAATTTCATTTCTATCAAATACGTAAGATGCTAGTTGTTGGCATGTTTTATAGAAAAAGAATCCAGAACTCTATTGTTATATCTAAATGGTCTACATTATTGTGTGTTTATGTACGTACACACTCACATACAAACTCATACGCACATTGGACATTTCCTTTAAATAGAAATATATTATCCACATTTCACGGTCATATTGGGGGAACTTATAAATATTGTTTATTTATTTAAAATCTGGTATATCAATTACTGAATTTTCCACATTCATCCATTTTATTTTTATGTGATTCATCATATTTCCATTTGGATTCAATGAATGTTGTGTGAATAGGTCTCAAAAAATTACAGGGAAAAGAACATTCCCACCAAAATCTACAAAGCTATGCAGAGCTAGAGTCTGATTTCCAAAAGCAAATGTAGAATATTACCTCTTTTTTCAAATTCTGCATGAGGTATTATTACACATGCAAATATATATTTGTGGAAAGATGGAACTCATCAACCAATTTCAACTAGCATCCAATGCTGAGCAGAATACAGTGATTAACTGTTGCTGGAAAGAAACACATTAAATCTTCCATTACGTGTTTGCAGTGAAAAACGTCACGAAATGCAAGAAATAAACCCTTTATCAACGGAAAACATGAAGACTTAGAGTCACTTTTACACTTACACATTCATGCGCACGGTGTCGCTCTTCACTGAGAACAATTCCGAGAAGAAAGCACCTCCCTTTCTTCCTTCCTGCTTAAAATTTGGCAGATAGTGGAAAACCTCTAGCGAATCCTCCCGCAATAGAGGGCCGAAAAATTAGATCTTGAGAGACATTTGAGGTAAGGTAGTGTATATACTTCAGATATCTCTTAAAGTCTTTTGAGTGTACCATGCTGATTTCCTGGCGAGGAGGCCCAGGAGCTCCGCGTCTGCTGCTCTCACTTCTGCTCCTCGCAGTCTGGGAAGCCGGGAGCGGCCAGGTCCACTACTCGGTTCCGGAGGAGGCCAAACACGGCACCTTCGTGGGCCGCATCGCGCAGGACCTGGGGCTGGAGCTGGCGGAGCTGGTGCCGCGCCTGTTCCGGGTGGCGTCCAAAGGGCGCGGGGACCTTCTGGAGGTAAATCTGCAGAATGGCATTTTGTTTGTGAATTCTCGGATCGACCGGGAGGAGCTGTGCGGGCGGAGCGCGGAGTGCAGCATCCACCTGGAGGTGATCGTGGACAGGCCGCTGCAGGTGTTCCATGTGGAAGTGGAAGTTACAGATATAAACGACAACCCGCCTGTATTCCCTGAAAGTGAAAAAAGAATAATCATTGCTGAATCTAGACCTCCGGAAACTCGGTTTCCACTAGATGGCGCATCTGATGCAGATATTGGAGTAAACTCCGCCTTGACCTACCGAGTCTATCCCAACGATTATTTCACACTGGACACACAAAACAACCGTGAACAAACGTCTTCGTTATCACTTGTGTTAAGGAAATCATTGGACAGAGAGGAAATTCAGGAACATAGTTTATTATTGACAGCCAGTGATGGAGGTAAACCTGAGCTAACCGGCACAGTTCAGCTGATGATCACAATCTTGGATGTGAATGACAACGCCCCAGATTTTGACCAATTGATTTACAAAGTGAGAGTGTTAGAGAGCACAGTCAATGGAACATTAGTTATCAAACTAAATGCCACAGATCCTGATGATGGTACAAATGGAGACATAATCTACTCATTTAGAAGACCCGTATCACCTGCAATATTATATGCATTTTCCATAAATCCTGACAATGGAGAAGTTAGGACAAAAGGTAAATTGGATTTCGAAGAAAAGAAATTGTATGAAATACCCGTGGAAGCAGTGGACAAGGGGAATATTCCAATGGCGGGTCATTGTACAATTTTAGTGGAAGTACTCGATATAAATGATAATGCCCCGGAAGTTACCATCACTTCTTTGGCTCTTCCAGTGCGAGAGGATGCTCAGGTGGGCACCGTCATAGCCTTGATTAGCGTGTCCGACCCTGACTCTGGCGCCAACGGTCAGGTGACTTGCTCACTAACGCCCCAAGTCCCCTTCAAGCTGGTGTCCACCTTCAAGAATTACTATTCGCTGGTGCTGGACAGCGTCTTGGATCGCGAA